ATCCACATCTAGTTATACATTGTTCCTTCAACTAAATTAAAATTTAAGGACAAATTAATGGCTTATATTTGTGCCCAACATCTACCAAAGTGCTTTGTACTTAATAAATAAATGTTCACTGATAAAAATAAAGACAAAGATGATAAAGATAATATGGAGTCAGTTCTTCATATACTTTCATATTATTCAAAGGCATAGCAGTGTAATTGAAGAATAAATAACTGTCACAGCCAAATCTAACAAAATTATATTATTTCTAACCAAATAGTTACTATTTCACTGTTCCCAACATTTTAAGCGGGGCTGTGTATGTGTGTATGTATAGAATCAACTCATAATGAAGACATGGTCAAGAAGTGAAAAGGTAGGAAACAACCCTCCAAAAATTAACATCATGAGCAAACAGCGGTGATGTGCTATAGAATTGTACACTTGAAACCTGTATGGTTTTATTGGCCAATGTCACTCCAATAAATTAAATAAAAATAAAACAATACAATTTAAAAAATAATAACTGTCTGGCACAGTAACAAAAAATGTAACAAAACAATGTGCCCCCAATTTTAAAAATAGGCATATAGTGTATAAGGTGAGTATACATCTATATCTGTGCATTTATGAGATACCCTGGAGAAAAAGGAATGAAATAAGAAAAAACAAACACTAAAATATTGGTAAATTAATACACAATAAAATTATAAACTTTTACTTTCTTCTTTATGCTTTCTGTACTTTCCAAATCAGAAACGCATACCTAAATACAATTTAAAAATTTTTTTAAATAAAACCTCCCAACATTTAGGAATTTTATTGTTGATGTTTTAACTCAACAATTTCAACTTAGTCTAATAAGCAATATAAAGTTATAAAGCAAAGTTAATTCTTAAAGCTTAATTCAGTATCTCTAAAAATACTTAAATGAAACCATCACCCTGTTACTATAGTAACAATTACATAATATCAATATAAATAAAAGGCTCTTTAGATAAAGGGAAGATGAAGCTTATTGGATTATCATTAGTATCCAGAATATATCATGTGCAGATTAGATTCACTTTCCTTTAGACATAGTCAAAATCTATATGTAAAGCTTTTAGTCTCATTAAATTTTTTAATAACAGACTCTTTATAACTCACTGACAAAGAATAAGACCAATTCATATTTTTCATTTTCTGAAAAACTTTTCTAATACTGAATTTTATTAATCTGGACAAAGAGTACAAATCTAGTTAACAGGCAAATGCTCCTCCCCCAAAAAGTTTTTCATTTAGAAAGAACTAGATATTCAAAGGTTATTCTAAACTGGAAACTATCACAACAACATGGTACAGTCACTCTGGAAAACAATTAAAAATTTTCTGTAAAAAACAAACAGCAACTACCATAGGACCTGGCAATCACACTCATGGGCAATTAGCTTAGAAAAATAAAAACTCACTCACACAAAAAGCTGCACCAGAATATTTATAGCAGCTTTATCTGTAACTAGAGGCCCAGTGCACAAAATTCGTGCACGGGTAGGATTCCTAGACATGGCTGGCTATCAGGGATGATCTGTAGGGCAACTGGTGGGGTAATTAATGGGCACCCAGCTGGCACCTGTCTTGGTTGGCCTGGGGCCTGCAGGATGGGGGCAGCTCCTGTGTTGAGCATCTGCCACCTGGTGGTCAGTGTGTATCATAGCTATTGGTCATTCCACCAGTCATTCCGCCATTCGGTCAATTTGTATATTAGGCTTTTATTGTTTAGGATAGCCAAAAAAACGGAAACAAGCCAGCTATCCTCCAATAGGTAAATGGATAAATTAATATAGCCACACCATTGAACACTAGTCAGCAATAAAGAGGAATGAACTAGTGGTATATGCAACTTGAATGAATCGGCAGGAAATTATGCTGAATTAAACAGCTAATCACAAATAGTCTCTACTATATGATTCTATTTATATACCACTACTAAAATGATTATAGGTATTACAGAATTATGGGAGTAAAGAATAAATGAGAGGTTGCCAGAGGTTAACTAGGAGGAGAGTGGTAAGAATAAGGGGAAATTGGATGTAGTTATCCAAGAGCAGCAGGGGGATCCTTGCAGGAAAACAACTATTCTCTCTCTTGGCTACAATAAATATCTGGAAATATCCTGATTCTGATGCTATTATAAGATAGCACTACTAAAGGAAACTAGGTAAAGACTACAAATCTATTATTTCTTAAACCACAGATAAATCTAGGATTATCCTATATAATAAAGAGGTAATGTGCAAATTAACCCTCATTCCCTCACAAGATGGCTGCCTACAACCAGGCCAGCAGGGGGGTGAGGGACGACCAAATGACCAAACAAGCAGGCTTCATGGCGCAACCAGGCCAGCCGGGGGTGGAGGGAGGCTGTGAGGGGCAACCAGGCCAGCAAGGGGGGTAGTTGGGGTGACCAGGCCTACAGTGGTGGGGTAGTCAGGGGCGACTAGGACGGCAAGGGGGGGCAGTTAGGGGTGAGCAGGCCAGCAGAGGGGGGGAGTTGAGAGCGACCAGGTCAGGAAGGGAGGCAGTTAGGGATGACCAGGCCAGCTGAGGGGAGAGTTGGAGGCGATCAGGCCAGCTGGGGAGTACAGTTGGAGGCAATTAGCTGGTGTGGTGGGGGGGCAGTGAGGGGCAACCAGGCCAGCAGAGGGGGGCATTTGGGGTGACCAGGCCGGCAGGGGGACGGTAAGGGGTGACCAGGACAGCAGGGAGGGCAGTGAGGAGAAACCAGGCAGTTAGGAGGGCAGATAGGAAGGGGGCAGCTGGGGCAACCTGGCTGGCAGCAAGGGGCAGTTAGGGGTGATCAAGCCAGCAGGGAGCCGGCTAGAGGCAACCAGGCAGGCAGGCAGGTGAGCAATTAGGAGACAGTGGTCCAGGATGTAAGAGGGATGCCTGACTGCCGGTTTAGGCAGTCGGACATCCCCTAAGGGGTCCAGGTTTGGAGAGGGTGCAGGCTGGACTGAGGGGGACCCCCACTCCCATGTACAAATTTTATGCACTGGGCGTCTAGTTTCAATATAAAAAGTTTAATCTTAAAAAAAAAAATACAATATTTTAAGGGCACTTTCCAATAATGATTATATCAAAGTCAAAGATCTTCCCTTCAGGAATTTACAACCTAAACCAGGTAATATAAAAAAAGTTTGTTAAAGTTTACTTAGACTTTAAAGATAAGTGATAAATATATGCAGCATTTGGGTACTAAAGTATCTACCATGTGATAGTACAGAAAAGCATGTGCATGGCTAAACAAAAAAACAAAAAAAACAACATTAAAATCAAATCCATTCTAGTATGCAAACATAATATTTTTTAAGTGTTGCTGTTTTTTAATAAGAAAGGAAAGCAGCACCCAGAATGACTTGCTGCTACTAATATGGTTCCCAGAGTACCTTATTATTTGTCTTTCAGTCCTTTTCAAATATTATTATTTCTACTTGAAGCCTGATGCATGAAATTCATGCAAGAGTAAGCCTGCCTTCTCCTAGCCACCGGCACCGGCTTCCCTCAGGCACCCGGAACCTGGGCTTCTCTTGCAGCCTCGGCTTCATCTGAAAGGTCATCCGAAGGGATGTCCAGTTTAATTAGCATGTTACACTTTTATTATTATAGATTGTGATTTCTCCATTGGACAGCCAACTCCATAAATGCAAGGACTGTCTCTTGGTTGCCTATGAGCATATGAACACAGTAACTGACGCATGGTAGGTTCAGAGCAAAAATTAAATAATCTGTAACTGAAATGAATTGGAAAATATAATTCTGAATTATATTTTCTTGTTACAGAATTCAAGAACGTATCAAGTAAATAAATATTTATCTTTTAGCTAAATTTTCCAATGTTGCCTTTTAATTCTAAACAACTTTAAAAGATTTTAATATACTTATTTAAATCTGAAGTGAAAATTACATAATTTGAATAACATATTTTCCATAAAGAATACCAGACTAGTTAACATTAATTTCACTTCTGTAAACTCAGAAATTTAGAAGCCTAACTAATTATTTTATTACACTAGAGGCTCAGTGCACGAATTCATGCACCTGTGGAGTCCCTTAACCTGGCCTGTGGGATGGCGCTGAAACCACTCTCCAACATCCACTGAGGAGTCCTAGATTGCAAGAGGACACAGGCCAGGCCAAGGGACCCCCACCAATGCATGATCGGAGCCAGGGAGGGACATGGGAGGTTGGCCAGCTGGAAAGGGACCACAGGAGGGCTCCAAGGCATGTCAGGCCTGTCTCGATCAGTCCTGATTGGCTGGACCCCAGCAGCAAACTAACCTACCGGTCAGAGCATCTGCCTCCTGGTGGTCAGTGCATGTCATGTCAACTGGTTGACTGTCTGTCCCCTCATAGTCAGTGCACGTCATAGCAACTGGTCAAACAGTTGACTTTCTGACTCCTGGTGGTCAGTACATGCCACAGCAAGAAGTTGAGTGACCTTAGCATATCATTAGCACATTACACTTTGGTTGAATGGACGACTGGACACTTAGCATACTAGGCTTTTATTATATAGGATATACTGAGTGTTTGAAGATAGAACCAATGCTGTGTTGATGTGCAAGAAGAACGTACTTCATAAGAGCTCATCTTACACCATTTTCCCCATAATAAATGGCAACAGAAACATAATATGAAATTTAAATAAAGATGTATAGAGATACACAGATATAGATATAGATCCTATCAAAGATGAATGTCTATGCTTTTTAAAAATGTCATAAAGGGCACGGGCCTGTGAATCACTTTCCCCCTGAAATAGGTGAAATCCAGTCATATGTGACAGGAATAAACCAGACGGCATCAAGCCTCTCTTAAACATTTGTATATATCCTTCAAAAAGAGACAAAAAATATTCTCAAGTTTTAGCAGCTTTCCTTTATTTTTACTTTTTAAGGGAACTTAATATTTAAAAAGATTTAAAAACGCATGGAAAACCCTCAAAACAAAAAACAAAAAAAATTACTTACCAAGTTGGCCATATAAATTGTGAGTAGCCCTCTCCTGAAAATAATTTTAAAAAGAGATTAAGAATTAATTTGACTTAATGATCACTTTATCATTTTTGAAAAATATATCAAAATAATTATCAGGAGTTGAGAAAAAGGGGTATATTATACTGAACTAATTTTTCAATACCTCAATAGTCAGATCTAAATAGATTCTACAAGTCATTCTGTTTAATGTTTATTAATTTAAATTTTTTTAAATTTCAATTGCCTAGTAATTAAGTAAGCTTATTGTGGAGAGCACATCACATATATAGCAATATCAAATCATTATATTGTATACCTGAAACTAAAACAATGGCTATAGGTCAATTATATCTTAATTTTTAAAATAATTATTGTCTTATTATTAATAGGAAGAATACTACAATTTGCTATTAGTCTATATCATCAATTTTCAACTGGTGTGTCGCAAGAATTTTTAATGCAATACCTAACTATTTAGTAAGGGGCATTGACTTGGTTTCCCTTAGACTGTTAAATAAAAATAATAACAACAGCCAACACAACAATAGTCATCTAATGTGAATGAACCAAAATTATACCTTTTTTTTGTCAGATTGATAAAAAACATGTTTTGGTATGCTGCAGAATTTTAGTAATTAGTTTATGTATACCACAAAATGAAAACAAGTTGTAAATAGCTGTTTTACAGTATTCTAGAGAATTCTAAATTTAATAAAGAATCCTAATGAATTAATCTTGACAAAAAGTCAAAACCAAAACAATTCTAACTTAATGCAAATTTATTCAAAAAATCAGATCTTCTATTTGTTTCACACAAAATACAATAGCTCATTAGATATGATTACAAATCATACAAAGTCACCTTCGTTCTACCTCCACTGTTAAGTGAGAAGTCAAGCACTAAGTAAACTTTCTAATGCCAAAGGACAAACAAAACTTCGAAACACTCTACAAAAAAAAAAAAATGCATATTTACTAAGTTTACTTAATAAGAATTCAGCTAAAAACTAAAAAATAGGGACAATTTTATGCCTTTAGTTATTTTATCTAACTTATCATACATGAGACCATAAATGAAACATATCCTATTCTGTAGGAAATAGGTGTTTTAAGAGTTTAAGGGCAGAGTTCAAATAACAAACTCTGAAACTTACCTGAGATTCAATTATAAATATTTTTAGTATTCAAAGAAAAAAAACTTTTTAAAAAATAAGTACCAATTGTCCAGGTCTTGATAATAACATTGTCAATGATATCCTCTTGATGTCAGATCCAGTCTGATAGTTCATTATGTAAAAGGGCTTAATAAGATTTTTATTATTACTAAAGCCACATAGAGACAGTTTGATTTACGTGAACACGTTGAAATGAAGTTAGGAAATCAGGGTTTCAGTTAACTTTAATTCTCCAGTACTCTGTATCACTGAAATAGGCAATAAAACTAGTTTTCTAATTTATGTTTTTAAGTATAAAAACTATTTAAAGAAAAAAATACTTTCATATATCACCAATATGTAAACATCATACTGGACCTACTCTGGTTGAAAGGGCATGCCCACTGAGCCACAACTCCCTCCCAGCCCATCCCAATGTCCCTCTTCAGCAGGTCCTAATGCACCTCAGCAGAACAACTGAATTCTGCTGCTGCTCTATAAGATGACCTGTAAGGTGCCTTCTAGCTCTTCTTTTCTATGATTTGTACATATGAATTGAAATTTTTACAGCTAGTCTTTACCAATCTTACCAACTTCTATGAAAAATTCTAAATCAAAGATGTTCTAATAGTATTTATTTTAAATCAATTATATAAAGAAAAATTATGGTAACATCAATATCCAAGAGTCACACACAAGCAGAAAAGTTAAATCCTTCTCTTAAGAGTAGTGATATCTACTCTTACTAAAAGAATTATATATGAATAAAATAATATTCTTAATTATAAAACCAAATTAATTTTCTTCCTGTGAAGATAGCATGACATATAGCATAACATGAAACTTGAAGATAGCAAAAATTTATGGACAAAATATATGTCCATATATTTACATTTACATTTACATTTAATCCACTAATTTCATTTTGGTCATAATTACTTTAGGAATTTCATAACTGGAACAGTGAAATTTAACAACTAACCCTTGAGTAAGCTTAGAATAAATATGCAGTTTTTGATATTTTAATCCATGTCCATTTCTTAAGCACCCTGCTTAAGTTTTAATTTACCTAAACTAGTACTAAAAATCAAAGCAAATTCCAAAGCAATTCCAAGAAACAAAATCCATCAGAACAACTTCTCTCTGAACCACAAACAAAGCACTTCCTAGAAAAAGAAAGAGAAGACTAGTTCTTAACAGCCCACCTACAGATAAACTATATGTTACCAATGCTTCCTACTGGGTTACTATGATCACAGTTCATTGTGGCACAAATTTTTTAAGAAACCTTGGAAACAACTTCAAAGCTTTCTCAGAACCCCATGGTGATGTGATTAAGATTTAAGTAAGCTGCCCTCTTATAGAGTGTCAAGAACTAGCTGGCAAAGCACACTTAATTCTATAAAGGGAGAGAGGGAGACTGGAAAAGATGATGGATATATATTCTATATATATACACATATATATGTGTGTATGTATGTGTATATATATGTATGTATGTATATCCACCATATGTACATGTGGATATATGTGTGCATAACCATATTGTATGTTCTTACTTGATTAAATATTTTTTTAAAAACTCAAATTATACAATTGAGTCCAACATGTATAATCTCATAGTAATGATTTCACTATTAAATATTAGCTCCAGAGATTTAAAAATTAGGACTATTGCTGCTAATTGGAAAATAATGCTAACCTCCCACATAATATTTCTTCCATTCTTTCATATATATTACTAATATTTATTTTAAAAGAAACTGAATGCACACGTTTCAATTGACAACTAACTCCTTAAATGTTGTTGTTTTCTAACTTCTAAACTCATACCTTGTATTCTGGGCTTTTATACTGATCTTCTCCTATAGCTTCAACGACCACTTATAAGAAAAAAAATTCCCCAATTTTATTTTTATAACTACAATGTTTCTCACATTTCAAGCTGCCTATTGGCTTTCCGCATCAACATATCATTGATTTTCCTTGTGAATTAAATGTACAATTACAAACTTCTTTTCCCTAAAGTAAAAACTATCCTACCTAATAAGAGAGTGATATGCAAATTAACCATCACTTTGCTCAAGCCACACCAAACAGCTACACCCAGCAGCCAATCAGAGCAAGTATGCAAATTAACCCCAACCAAGATGGCTGTACCACAGAGAACAGTTGAGAGGCTTGAGTTTCAATAGAGGAAGGCAAGCTTTCGACACACCCTGGCTTGACCAGGCCTCCACTCAAGGAAACACAGTTTTAATTATAGAAGATAAATCCCAAGAAAAATGGCAGCGGCTATGGAGCTGGAATCGAACCCGGGACCTTTCAGTCCCCAAGCCGACGCTCTATCCATTGAGCCAAACCGGTTTCAGCTAAAATTTAAAGTTTTAATTAGACCCCAAACTAGGATTTGTGGTTGACACATACATATCTATACTTATAAAAGGGTAATATGCTAATTAGACTGGGAGACCTTCCAGATGAAGCCAGGGCTACAAGGGAAGCCCAAGTGCCTGCAGGCGGCCACAGGGAAGCTTGGGTCCTGGGTGCCTGCAGGTGGCCTGAGGGAAGCCCGGGTCCCAGGTGCTGGAGGGAAGCCTGGGTGCTGGGAGCCGGGTGCCAGAGAGAAGCCAGGGTTCCAGATGCCAGAGGGAAGCGGGTGCTGGCAGCTGGGGGAAGACCTACTCTTTTGTTTGTTTTGTTTTGTTTTGTTTATACCAACAAGCCTTTAATGAAACTGCTATCAGTTCATTCAAGACTGCCCAGATGATTTCAAAAGCAATGTGGCAGAGTGTCTATTTCCCAGTGATAAATGCATGTTCACTGCTAATGTTTTTTTTTAATTTTTTTTAATATTTTTTTTCTTTATTGATTAGGCATTACATATGTGTCCTTATCGCCTCATTGCCCACCCACACCTCCACTCATGCCCTCACACCCCTGTTGTCTGTGTCCATTGGTTAGGCTTATATGCACACATGCAAGTCCTTTGATTGATCGCTCCCCTTTATTCCTACCATCCCCTACCTTCCCTCTAAGGTTTGACGGTCTGATGGATGCTTCTCTGTCTATGGATTTGTTTATCTTCATCAGTTTATGTTGTTCATTATATTCCACAAATGAGTGAGATCATGTGATATTTATCTTTCTCTGATTGGTTTATTTCACTTAGCATAATGCTCTCCAGTCCCATCCCTGCTGTTACAAATGATAAGAATTTCTTCTTTTTTACCTCAATATAGTATTCCATTATGTAGATGTACCACAGTTTTTTAATCCACTCATCTGCTGATGGGTACTTAGGAGGAAGACCTACTCTTGCACAAATTTGGTGTATTAGGCCTCTAGTGCATATATAACCCTCAATGAAAAAAACTAAAAAACTATTTCTAAGCATTTATTGCATTACCTAATAAACAGAAGTAAATCAACACATATCACAGAGTTCAACTGCATAACAATCACAGTAAGGTAAGGATCAATTTTTCTTCAGCACAAAGGAATAGTACTTACAGAGAAGCTAGACTTAAAATTTTTATTAGGTTTTTAAAACAGTAAGACCATTCCAATTAATATTTAAAACCGGGTGTATTAACTTTTTGTGAATACTTAGTGTCTACAAACAAAACACTAGGGCAGTTGCTCACTTAAAGGAAATAAAAGCAAAAGGTGTTTTTTTATAAAGTTCCCTATCAAAAATAAATAAAAATAATAGAAAATAAATTAGTAACCAAAATCCAAGTAATCACATCACTTCCAAGAAACCTCTTTATGCTTTAAGAAGTTATAGTTTTTGCCCATTGAATGTGGCTCAGTGGTTGAGTATCAACCTATAAACCACAAGGTCACGGTTTGATTCCCAGTAAGGATACATGCCCAGGTTTTGGGCCCATTCCCTAGAAGGGGGCGTGCAGGAGGCAGCCGATCAATGACTCTCTCATCATTGATGTTTCTACCACTCTTTCTCTTCTTCTCTGAAATCAATATATATAAATAACTTGACCAACAGTTATGACCAATCAGACAACAGGCCGGTAGCTATGACACTAAATGCAGGAGCTGCCCCATGGTGGTCAGTGTGCTCCCATAGCCAACTTCCCACAGCCAGCCAACCTCCCATGGTTCCATCCCCCGGCCAGCAGGCCCATTGTCCCCATTCAGGACTGGTAGAGTGGCCCCGACCAGCCCTGATTGCTGGCCAGTGCATGAATTTGTACACCAGGTCTCTAGGTTTTTGTTGTTGTTGTTATTGTTGTTGTTGTTTTTTAAAGAAGCTATACCTTTTAATATCAATAGCACAATTTTACTTGGTGCTATATTTAAACAAATGCTGTTCTTCAAAGAAACATTTAATTATTTTAAACTAAAATTATAAAAATAAGACCTATGTATGAGTAAAATATTTTGAGGTCATATTTCCAAAACCAATATTCACATTTTTAAATTGACCAAGAACCACCAGAATAACTGTCATTACTCATGAGCAAAAAATAATAAGGATACTTAACCTAACACTGTGTGTCAAGCACTGTTTTAAGCACTTTTACCTATATTAACTTATTTAATCCTCTGAATAACTATCTGAGTAAATTATCACTACCCGTTTTTCAGGTAAGGAATAAGCCATGGAAGTCACACAAAAGGTGGCAGAGCCAGCTAAGCTGTACATTGAACAGCTCCATAATACACATTCTTAATTACTATATATTCTGAACTGTCCTCTCAAGTAGGATAACCTATATTTCCAGCACTACTGACTTGATTATGATGTGGTAATAGCATCTACCAATCCTTTGATTTAAAAAAATTTTAGTAATCCAAAAGATTTATGATATAATCAAACAGAGAAACACAAAAAATGTAGATTCTATCTATCTATCTATCTATCTATCTATCTATCTATCTATCTATCTATCTTTCTATCTATCTATAAAAAGAAGTAATATGCAAATTAGGCCAGGATGCCATAACAGTCACAACCGGTCAGGAGTAGGCTGTGTGCTCAGGTGAGGCCAGAGCAGAGACGGAGACAGAGAAAGGGGGCCTGCCCAGGCCACCATACCGGAGTGGACACAGGCAGGGGGACCTACTCCAGCCGCAGTGCACCAGCAGTTCCGCCTTTGCACGTGAGCTGTAGAGGAAACACCTTTTCAGACTGCTCATTGGCTAAGCTCCAGGTACACCACTCGCAGTGCTCTTGATAACTTCAATAATAAGAATCCAAGAAGATGATCTAGCATTTTTCCACCTCGCTCTTAGAGAAAAAAAAAAAAAATGAAGATCCACTGCTGGAGGGGCTGAGACATGTCATATCCTGCCCTACCTAGTTTGGCTGTGGATGGAGCCTCGGCCTGTGAACCATAGGGTTCTAGTTCAATTCTGATTAAGGGCATGTACCTAGGTTGCAGGGTCCTCCCTGGCCAGGGCCCAAGTCAGGGCTCATACAAAGAAAAATAATCAAAGTGTCCCTCTTATATTGATGTTTCTCTTTGTCTTTCCCTCTTTCTTCCACGCTCTCTAAAAATCAATGGAAAAATATCCTCAGGTGAGGATTAAAGAAAAAGAAAGAAATGTTATATCCTATGAAAGAAACATCTTGAAAATGCCTAAAGAAAGTTGTCATTTTTTTTGTGGTGAAGGAACTGGAGTTGGTGTTAATGAAAACACTTTGGTGGCTGCAGCAGCTGGCAGTGGCAACAGCAGTGAGGTGATGGGGGTGAAGCCTTCCCCTGATCAGCCAGTCACCTTCCACAGAGGAGTGGCGTAAGCTGTCAGTAGGATATCCCTTGAGAGCTCCCAGACTATGAGAGGGGGCAGGCTGGGCTGAGGAATCCACTCTCCCTCCCCCCAGTGCACAAATTTCAAGCACCAGGCCTCTTGTTTGTATAAAAAATCATTAAAAATGGTTTCTGGTGGTTTAAGTAAACATTTGGTTATCTAATAAGATCTATCTTATCATTGGATCTTATCAGCAGATTGATAATTACAATAAATATTTTCATAAACTGAAAGATGATTTCATCTTGATTAATACATGACCCCTTAATACATGACCCCTTCTTGATTCTCTGGGATAAAGATGGAACCAATGCAATTTTCAGCAATAATTACTCATTAGATAACAAAAATTATTTTGTACAAAAGCTTTAACTCAACTGTTTAGCTGACTGAACAATTATGTAACAGTTTGTAGCATTTTATAGAAATCTCATTTCACATAGAACATTTTCAGATTAAATAAAAATGAAAATACTTTTTTAAATAGGAAGGTGCCTTAAAAATCAATTGATTTAAGAAAAGTCACTCAATGACCCTGAATCAAATTAAAAATCTAGATGATAATAAAAAAAGTAACTTGTTAATTTTCTTAGGTGTGATCATAGTATTGTGATTATGAAGATTTTAAATTACAATTTGTGTATGCCATAGCTTAGTTAGGCACATCAAAGAATCCTAATTTTTAGTAAATAAAGACTTATTGGAATGATTGCTCTATAATGTTAATTTTTATATTTTTAGGCTTAATAAATATAAATAATAAAAGTATAAAATTAAATTTTCCATAACATATCTGCAAGACTGAAAAAGATATATGGAAATATTTCTCATACCGGGACTAAAGTAAACAATAAGCAACTAGAAAAAAAATTCTAGTTGATGGGGGACAGTAAATCAGTTTGATTAAATATGTAGATATGTAAAATTTTACCTGCTTTTTCTTTCAATTAGAATGGCCACATAAGATGCTGGCAAAGCGGCACCAAAGCCAGGACTCCATGAGTAGAATTTTCCAAGTATCCTCCTGAAATTCAAATTTGGAATGTTCATACGAAATTTTTGGTTTGTCATTTCAGTTATTACAAATAGAAGCTCCCCTTCTCAGTACACACTCTATCAAAATGTCCACAGCACCTCTAACTCAACATGTCCAAAGACAAACTCATGATCTCTCTCTCCTGCCTCATGAACTTGTTCTCTCTCCCCTATTTTCCTAGGTTACTGGCAACAACAACTACCTATCCACGCACAAGTTTCATCAATAGGATATGCCAGAAGCTAACTTGGAGACATCCTTGGCTTCTTTCTCCCTATCCCATACATTAAAAATCATTTCATATACAATTAATCTCTCAAATTCCTCTCCAACCTACACCACATAGTCTTAGATAAGACCCACATCATCTCCCATCAGACGACAATAGCAAACTAACAGATATCTCTCCTTCTAATAATATAGCCAATCATATTCATTTAGCAATTCCTGGATCCAACATCACTTGCTATGCAAACCATCTGTGTTCTCTCTCAACATCCTTATCTAGCAAATGAGAAAAATATTACCAATCTCATATTGTTATGAGGACTACATGAAATATTTCCTAGCACCATACACAGCTCAGAGAAAATACAAAGAAAATGTTAACTGTTACTACAATAATTACTATTTTTACATATAATATTCAATAAATGTCTTTCCCTCTTTGCTTCTATCACCATTGATAACGCTTTCTTACAGCACTTACTAAAAAGTGTTTCTACTTTAGTTATATGTTTATATAATTTTTCACTTACTAGAATATATCCCTTACAAGTAAGACACTGCATAGTGTCTCATATATTATATAAAACCATTAGATGCTTAGATTTTTAAAGAGAAAAAATGGAGCCAAAACTGGTTTGGCTCAGTGGATAGAGCATCGGCCTGCGGACTGAGGGGTCCCGGGTTCGATTCCGGTCAAGGGCATGTACATTGGTTGCGGGCACATCCCCAGTGGTAAGTATGCAGGAGGCAGCTGATCGATGTTTCTCTCTCATCGATGTTTCTAGCTTTCTGTCCCTCTCACTTCCTCTCTGTAAAAAAATCAATAAAAATATATATTTTTTTAAATAAAGAGAAAAAAAATGGAGATGTTAGGAAGACATTTTTTTCCTTTCAAAGACAATATGTTCCTGCGATATCCACAAATAAGGCTAAGAATCAAATGATCTTTTGAAATGATGCTAAGCTTTAAAGAATTAGAAAGCCTACTAAGCATTTATAACATGGGTATTTCCAAAACGGACATCAGAAACCTTCTGCCTGAGAAAACTGTTAGTAGTCCCCCATCCAATATAAAATCCACAAGGATATTAAGAAGTTACTGAAAGTAAAAACTAAAGAAAAATAACTCAATGATTTAATTACTGAAGAAATACAGATATTACCTTATTATAAGTAGTTTATGTTTCAACAACTTAACCAAACAAGTTCATGGAACCTAAAGAAATATGCTGCAATAGTAATTTATCATAACTGTAATTTTTTTAAAACCTAGTTATCTTACAACTTTATTTTTAGAGTTTTAACAAATGTTAGAAACTTTCCAGAGACCACCTGATCAAGAGTTTCTTACACAGATTTCCAGGTCAATTTAAAAACATGACGTACTCACAATAGTATAAACCTTATTAATTACTTTATGCATAATCTGAACATTTATTAGTACTAATGTTCTAAGGGAAATATCTCTAAAAAACATTTGGAAGTATTTTTAATTGGAGCTAAACTATACCTGCAATTAACTTTGAACGACATTATAATAAATTGGATCACACTAATAGGAGGGCAAAATAATGTTAGTATTTTAAACTTGACAGATTAAAAACACACTAACTTGGGTTTTCAATATTCAGTAGGGGAAAGATAAAAAGTAAATATTTAATAAATATGTTAAGCATATCACAGGACTAAAAACTGAATTCCAACTACATCTACATTGTTTGAAGCATGTCTCCAAGTAATGTGCATAAGACCAAAAGTTTCATCAGTAGGATATGCCAGAAGTTAACTTATGTTTTATATTTAAACACGGTAGTTTGTAGTCCTTTTGAAGTTGTTCACTGCATGTGGACTTAACCTATATCATGGATAACTGTTTTGAATTCATTTATGAAAATGAAAAATTAAGAAATCCTCATCAACAACTTGGTAAACACAGTAGCCCTCAGAAAAGTGTGATAAAGTAAAATATCTTTGTTATTTAATCACAGCAATAATTTTATGTTACATCTTTAGAGCAAGAGGCACAGAACTCCTGGTTTTACAAGCTTTCCTTGGGATAAATAAATGTCATTTCACAAAGAGAAAAAAAAATACAAGCAGTGACCTGCACATTTATATAAACATCTGTTCAATTCCATTTCAACTCAGGAATTTGTATTAACCTCCAGTAGTGATTATGAGTACCAACCTTAAAATGCAAAAGAAGGCCATATACAAGGCCCCATTAGCAGTCAGAAATGAAGCAGATTGCAGGATCTCGGGGAGTAGTCTGTGTAAATAATAGTCTAATTTTCGTTTCCGGAGAATTGCTGCAATCTGAAAAGAGAAAGTCTTTCTTTAATCCAACCAACTTTTCCACTTAAATTAGGACTTAGATGGAAGCTACTGAATAACAGCATATATTTTTAAATTAAAGTAAAAACTGGTATTTTACTGGTTCTTCTATAAAAAAATATAATTTCTGAAACAGAAAACACTTTAATTTATTGAAAGAATAATGGGTAAAAAAAAAAATACACAAAGGAATTATGACATAGGCCATAAAATGAGTAACCTCCAAATGTTGAGATAAATACTTATGCCTTAGAAAAAACAGTTTTAGCCAGTGTTGCTCAGTGGTAGAAAGTCAGCCAGCCCACCTAAGGATCATGATTTGATTCCTGGTCAAGGACATGTACCTGGGTTGCAGATCCATTCCCCAGACCGTCAGGGTGTTTGTGGGAAGAACCAATCAATGTGGCTCTCTCACATCAATGTTTCTCTCTTTCTCCCTCTCCTTCCTTTTCACTCTCAATGGAGCCTGTTGCTCAGTGGTTGAGTATCAACCAATGAACCAGGAAGTTAGGTTTTGATTTCGGTCAGGGTGCCCGAGTTGTGGGACAGTTCCCCTGGGGGTTGCAGGAGGCAGTTCATCGATGATGCTTTCTCATTGATATTTCTCTCTCTCCCTCTCCCTTCCTCCCTCTGAAATCAATAAAAATATATTTTTTAAGTAAATAAATAAATAAATAAATAAATAAATAAATAAATGGAAAAATATAAAGTGAGGATTAATAAGAAAAAAGTTCTAAACAAAAAGTGAAATATAGCCCAGCCGGTATAGCTCAGAGGTTCAGCATCAACCTATGAACCAAAAGGTCATGGTTCAATTCCCAGTCAGGGCACATGCCCATGTTGTGAGCTCAATCCCCAGTAGGGGTATGCAGGAGGCAGCCAATCCATGATTCTCTCTCATCATTGTTGCTTCTATCTCTCTCTCCTTTTCTTCTTTTCCTCTCTCTGAATTCAATTTAAAAAAAAAAGAAAATTAATATATGTTAAGTGGAAAAAATAAAGTGTAATTCAAATTGAAGTTGAATGCTAAATTAAAAATATGTTACAGATCTTATCAGCCTGGATATTAGAGAAACTCAGAGACAGAAATCAGTTATTCAAATATAATATTGTATGACAAAAAACATACTAGCTATAAAAAATTATCAAAAGTAAAATAAAATGAATGATTTTTGTTCTACTGAAGGCATAAAAGAAAGCAATGACCCGAAAAATAAATACATATTAAGAATCTAGCATAATATATGTTGGTATATGCTACAAAACATAAACAGGCACAAGTTCCTGTACAGAGGATTGCAGAAGTTTCACAGTTCTTTTCTAAAGAATAACTTTTATTTTTAAAAAATATTTTCTTGTTGATTACATACATTTCCTTTTTCCCTTTTTTTTTACTGAATGTAAAAACTGACTTTTTCCAGCCCATCCCTACCCCTTACGGCAGGCCTTCCCCACTGTCTGTGTCCATAGGTTATACATATATGCCTACAAGTTCCACTCACTTGCTCCTGCCTTCCCTCTGAGATCCAGCAGTCTGTCCCATGCTTTTATGTCTCTGAGTCTATTTTGTTTATCAATTTTGCTTAGCATAATACTCTCCAGGTCCATCCATGCTGTTGCAAATGGTAAGAGTTCTTTCTTTTTTACAGCTGTGTAATATTCCATTATATAGATATACCACTGTTTTTTTTAATCCACTCATCTGTTGATGGGCACTTGGGTTGTTTCCAAATCTTACCTATTGTAAATTGTGCTGCTATGAACATAGGGGTGCATATATTCTTTTGGATTGGTGTTTCTGATTTCTTAGGATATAAACCTAGACGTGGGATCACTGGGTCAAACTAAAGTTCCATTTTTAATTTTTTGAGGAAACTCCATATTGTTTTCTACAGTGGTTGAAGCAGTCTGCATTCCCACCAGTTGTGTACTAAGGGTCCCGTTCCTCCACATCCTTGCCAATACTTGTCATTGGTTGATGACAGCCATTCTGATAGTTGTTATTCTTCTTTGTCATTTTAATTTGCATCTCTCAGATAATAAGTGACTTTGAGTATTTTTTCATATGGCTTGTGGCCTTCTGTATGTCCACTTTGGAGAAATGTCTATTTAGGTCCTTTGTCCATTTTTTAATTGGATTGTTTATCTTCAGTTTGTTAAGTTGTATGAGTTTATTATATATTTTGGAAATGAACCCCTTATTGGATGTATCATTGGCAAATATGTTCACCCATGCAGTGGGCTTTCTTTTCATTTTGTTGATGGTTTGTTTTGCTATGCGCAAGCTTTTTATTTTGATGTAGTCCCATTTGTTTATTTTCTCCTTCATTACTTTGCCCTAGGAAACGTATCAGTGGACATACTGGTATGAGAAATGTCTGAGATTTTGTTGCCTACAGTTTCTTCTAAGATTTTTATGGTTTCACGACTTACATTTAGGTCTTTTATCCATTTTCAGTTTATTCTTGTGTATGGTATAAATTGATGGTCTAATTTCATTTTTTTGTGTGTACCAGTCCAATTTTCCCAACACTATTTATTGTATGTCTTTACTCCCTTGTATGCTCTTGCCTCCTTTGTCAAATATTGAGTATAATGGCTTGGTTCAAAATTTGGGGTTTCTGTTTTGTTCCATTGATCTCTAATGCCTGTTCTTGTGCCAGGACCAGGCTACTTTGAGTACAGTGGCTTTGTAGTATAACTTGATATGTGATATTGTGATTTTTCCACCTTTGTTCTTCTTTTTCAAGATTATTGCAGCTATTCGTGGTCTTTTTGTTTCCAGATAAATTTTGGAGTATTTGTTCTGTGAAATCTGCCATTTGTAGGGATTGCGTGAATCTATAGCTTGTTTTGGGTAGTACAGCATTGTAATGATATTCATTCTACCAATTCATGAACATGGTATATTCTTCCACTTGTTTATATCCTCCTCTTCATCTTTTTTCAAGGTCCTGTAGTTTTCAGAGTACAGGTCTTTTACCTCCTTGGTTAAGTGTATTCCTAAGTATCTTAATTTTTTTGTTGCAATGGTAAGTGGATTTTTTTTTTTTTTAGTTTAATTATGCTTTAGTTAAAGCATAATATGCAAATCAACTGAATGACTGAACAGCAGAAAGACTATCCAGGTGACTTCCCAGATGACCACCCTATGACACACACTGGCACCAGGACAGCCAAGATGGGTTCAATACAATTGGTCAGGGGGCCCTGCCATCACCCCATGATTGCCCTAAAGAGGGAGGCCCAGACCACCCTCTGCCCTCTGCAAGGCAATCAATCATGTAGCCCCAGCTGGGTGGGTGGGGTCTCCCTCTGTAGGGCAATCAATCTTGGAGCCCCACAATCAATCACCCCACAGAGGGAGGCCCGGGCTATTGTCCTGCAGAGGGGACCCAGACTGGCCAGACAATCACACCCCATGCCTGTCATCCACAGAGGAAGGTCACCGGTGGTGATAGAAGGGGGAGCAGCACTGCACAAATGGCAAGCAGTGGCACCAGCAGGAGTGGGGCCAGCTGCCAGCAGCAGGGGAAGAAAAGCCCCAAAAGACCCTGATCGCTGGCCAGGCCTAGGGACCCTACCTGAGGGGTCCGGATTGCAAGAGGGCACAGGCCAGGCTAAGGGGGACACCTCCCTCCCCCGTACATAAATTTCGTGCACCAGACCTCTAGTTAGTGTATAAAAATGCCATGGATTTCTGGGTGTTAATTTTGTATCCTGCTACATTGCAGAATTCATTCACTCTATCTAGTAGTGTTTTTTTATGAGGTCTTTAGGGTTTTCTATGTACAATATCATATCATCTGCAAATAATGGCAGTTTTACTTCCTCCTTTCTAATTTGTATCTCTTTTATTTTTTCTTCTTGTCTTCATTTACCTTTAAAGGGTGAAGGCAAACTTATTAAGACAGTTTGTCTAACATTTGTAACTAAAACTTTCTGACCACCTAACTAAAATATAGATTTTATTAGAATAGAGGTTCAATTTCAGAGAATCTGTTAAGGTATTTATATGGTCTGAAATGTTTTATTACTGATATTAGCTTCAAGTTTAAGTAAAGCCCAAATTCTAAAGAGAAGAAATCAAATTCTTGACCCGGGCATTGGATTTAAGAAATCATCAAATAGCCTCTCTTTCTGACTAGCCTCGTACATACTCACTTCATATATATTCACATACTCACTATGTCACTTCATTGGGAAAGCCTTCCCAAACCCACCACACTAGAATGCGTCCTCTTGTAACACTCCCGTATAAAACCCTGTACTTTTTAATAGCACTTATCACAGTTGAATCTGTGTGTGTGTGTGTGTGTGTGTGTGTGTATCTTCCCCTTAATTATAATGTCCACAAATATCTCATCTCATTCCCATGCCCTGGTATTTCTGACACCTTGTAGGCAATCTATAATATTTAAAAAAAAAAAAAATGAGGAGTGAAAAGAGTAAGAGGAAATGAAATTCAAAGTAAAGTAAATAGTTGTTGTAACACACTCCATGCGCTCCAAATGGAACAGTAAGCACAGTCTGAAACTCAGTGTGATCCTGATTAATTCAATGTCTTCTGGGCTTGTGAGTTTCTGAGATACAGGTCTACTTTCTTCAAGGTTTAGAAATCAAGAATGATCCGAACAAGCCTCCTCTGTCACTGCCAACAGATACAGAATCCTTCAAAACAACTCCCAAACTGGACTAATCACAATCCAAACTCTAAAGATCTAGTTGGAATCAAGAAACAAAAGCAACCTGACACATGTAATGAGTCAAAAGACTATACAAAATAATGTTAATAAGCTGAAAACACTGTAAATTCAGCATTCTTAGAAATAAACCTGCTCTAATCTGATGACACTAGCATTCTTCCTTCTTTTCATAATTTCATGCATAAATTCATTTCACTGAATATTTTTCAATACTGTTAAAAACAAAATAACTTAAAACCTATATTCATTCACTTGAATTGTTGATTCTACCCATGT